ACAAATCTAAATATCCTTCTTGATTGAAATAATTAAAATTATTATTCTTTTATTTTAAAATTTCATAATTTCCTTTAGGGCTGAAAAGAATTATCGGATTAATCGATTATTGAAATACTTATCAACTAATTTAGTAAACGATTAATCGTTAACTGGTGTATAGAAACTCTACAACATAACTTTAGCTGACAGATGGACCCACTTGGAGCATAAATTATACCAAAATTGTAAAAAAAAAAAATAAATAATAATAATAATAATAATAGGTACATTAGAGATTAAAAAAAAACTTTTTTATCTGTCAATATGCTTTATCCAGACCTACTACAGTGGAAAAGTTTTAATTTCACCAACTTTATTTTGTAAAAAGTCTTCTTTAAAGAATATTTGGCTAAATTATTATTAATCGATTAATAACAAAAACTAATCAACAGATTGCTCGATTTACAAAATAATTGTCAGTTGCAGCCCTAATTTCTTTTCTTTACAGACAATGTGACAGTAAATGATGATGTGCGGATGTGGCGCTTTCTTTCAAGCCATAGAAACAACATCAATGACTGATGCAGACATCCTTACAAAAAAGAAGTTTAGTAAATTAAACCTTTGAACAAAACAAACAGGTATTTCAAAAGCGTTTCACCCAAAAGCTGCAGACCTCTGCTCTTTAGCATATTTTAACCGTTCAAAGATAAACCTCTGCTGCAGTACGAGGGCTAAATATCTACTCGGCCAATGAACAGATGCATGAGGAACTTTAAATGTTATGCAAGCAAACAATAAATATGAGGCCCATGAGGCCTTGTAGCTGCTGCAGAGCGGCTCGTAGTTTTATTGATTATTTTGTCCCAAACAGCAACATTAACGCTGAGAGCTTTAAGGGAGAGCAATGTTCTCAGGATCAGCATGCACATTTAAAAAAGATAGAACAAAACAACACTTCCAAGGGAAGGAACCCTAACATGTGTGTATTTAATGTTTGTGTTTTCGTGGAAGCAAAAGATTATCAAACTGAAACTTAGCTCTTTTTCTAATCACAGTGACTTCCTTTCCACAAACACAATAACTCTGTATTAAACCCTGATCTCACCTTATTATTTCCTGATACTCGCTCCGTTTCGCTCTCAATCTCCTGTCGGATTTCATCGAAATCTGTGTAGATCTTCAAAATAGAAAAAAAAGATAAAATAATAGAAATGAAACAAAGGCTCCCATCAAAGTCCAGACTACCCTGTCCAGCCACATGAAGGGGAATACCTTATTTTTAGTGTGTAGAAACTTCCCCCACTCCTCCACATCTCTGCCTGTGAGACACAACGAAAAGTAGAGTCAGAAATATAAAAAAAAGGAAAGCTTATCAAGGCTAGAAAGAAACTTAAGTCTAAAAGAGGCAAATCAAGCACAGCTAATGCAAGGACCAACATCTGACCACCTGTGAGGGTGAGGTTTATCTAAGCAGCTGCAAACAGGGGGTGTGGGTAGCTGAGCTACAAGAAGCTAAACTCTACTGTAAAACGTACGGACATCTGGAACGCTGAGAGGTTCTGTTTTTATTCACACCATAGCGTCTGCATGTGGCCAGGAAGAGAGAGACAGACCTTTAAAAATTATTACTCGACTCAGATAGTAAGGAAATATTTAACAGTTATGGAGTTTACCCAGGATTCCACACAACTGCTGATCAAATGCACTTGACTATTTATCCTCAACACCTGTCAACACCTCTATAAAGGGTTCCTACACATGTATTGGTGAAAATAGAAAATATAAAAATACTTTACAGACTTAACTTCACCTTGAGTTCATCTAGAAATATTTAAAAATGTAAAATGAACTGTGAGTTTTGAAATACAGACATCAAAGAAAAGAATCAAGGATGCAAAAAGGAAAGAAAGCAAGAAACGGGAGAGAGAAAAAAGGAAGAACCGACACAAAGAAGGATAGAAGCAAAACATTTAAACGCTTTTTCACACAATCCAGGGCGTGAAGGAAAGTTTTCTATAAAAGGGCTGTTCAGGCTCACTCATGGCAACTAAATGCCAACTGAAAAAGGAAAGGCAAGTTTATTCAAATAGAAGATTTCAGGGGGCATAAAGGCATTACAAATTGATTGTTTGACTTTGCTGATCTCACAGTGGAGAAATTAACTCATTACATCGGCTCAAAGAAGAAGTTGCCAGAAGGAGAAAAAGGTGCATGGGGTTATATACAGTATATACAGTGCGTCCATCTATATAACAGCTGAAGTCTCTTATTTAACAGGATTATTATACAGTCAATTTTTAATGATTAAAAAGAATAAAATTAGGCACAAAAGTAAGATGATTATAAAAAAAGATATATATGATGGATAAAAATATGAAAGGCCACAAATCAAATACCTTCTTAATCTCTTTTCAAATCAGCCTAGGGTTTCAGATTTAAATAAAGTTTTCTGAAATTCAACAACATCAATAATAACTAGAAAAAATAAAGCAAAGTGGGAATGCTTTTTTCTGCTGAATGGAAAAAGAAAATTTGGCCAAAGGAACTGATTAAAGGAAAAATAGCAGAAATTAGCTGAAGAACATATAAAAATGTGATAGGAAGTCAGAAACTTGAAACTGCAGAAAACAATCATCTGAGGATTTTTTAGGGTAGAATGAATTCATGAAATTTGATTAACCAGAAGAAAAAGTCCAAAAGCATCTGGAAGCATACCTGGAAGTTGACAGAAGTTGAACTGAAAATATCCTTAAAAAGACAAACTCTTTTGTAAAAGAAAAGTGTGAAATTTGCAAAATCTAAAGGATGTGTAAAATGCTGAGTTTAACTAGGATTAATACAACAAAAAGGGTAAAAGGTACAGAATCCGCAGTTGTTGATGAACAACAGTGCAAGTTTCATGTCTCCTCAAAAGAGGACGTGGCCATGGTGACGATGTTAAAATGAAAAGAAGAATTTTTAAAGATTTTGGTTTTAAAATGTACTCCTTTGAGGCCCCCAAATGACATAGCGGCCTGGTAAAACCATAAATGATAAATTAAGCATAACCGTGAAAATAAGCCGGCTTTGAGGAACAATTATACCAACTTTCATTTTTCTATGCAAAAGGAAGTTTCCATGGTAACAATGTAAAATATTTCAGTTGGAAATTTTACTGATTTGATACAAGACATAAAAAAATAATACAGGTCTGATGATGATGATATGTGCCAAGTTTCATGCTTGTACATCAAACACTTTGGGAGAAGCAGTGATGTGTTATTCAGCCATTGTCTCCCATTACTGTCCTTTCCTAATTGCTTGTGTGATGTGTGGATCAAATGCCTGCAACTCTGGCATAATAAGGTGTATGGATGTCATTCTTGCACCGTTTAATTCATGACGAATAGGGGAACAAAGCTTTAGGTTGTTCAAAATGTTTTTGAAAAGATACAGCACCTACACAGCAATCACGGTTACTAATACTTCTTAGTTGCTGTCAAAGGCCACAAAACAATTACCTTCTTGCTATCTTTTCAAATCAGCCAAGGGTTTCAGCTGATTTAAATAAAGTTTTCTGCAATTCAACAACATCAATAATAAGAAAAGAGAGGAGTTTCCTGCTAGCACCCACCTCCATCCTCATTCTTCCTTCCATCTCCTGGATCTACATGGACCAGCTGAAGGATGAGGGGCCTCCTGGTTACAATGCCAGTCCCACGGGGCAGCAGGTCCCTGCCCACCAGGCTCTCCAGCACTGAGCTCTTTCCACTGCTCTGATGACGTAGAGACATTGCAGACACACCAGCACTCATTAACTGGCCTCTTTTAGATAGCAGGGGCTAATTTAAGATTGTAGGCTGATGGAGTATTTTTACCACAGCCTCTGTAGACATTGTTAGCCGCATCAGCTCTAATAAAAACAACTGTTTTCGCCATGACTATCAATCTTTACAGCTTTCAAATATATATTATGGAGTAATTAAATCAAACACTCTCTAATTATAGTGTTTGGCTTGTTTTTGTGCATTTTTTGAAGCAAGGTTAAGAGGCTATCGACTAGCATGACAGCTGCTATCAACCCAAGCAGTGTTTTACCTGAGTCCCCACCACTGCAATCTGCGGCAGCTGGATGATATCCGTCCCCACGGTGTTAAACACATCCTGGAGCTTGTTTATTACGGGGATAAGAGCCTCCATGTTGGCTGTTAGACGGACTTTAAACAGACTATTTATCGATATGGAGCCAAAGTCATTCAATGTCCCCCTAGAACCACCATTCTACTTCTTCTTGAATTTTTTTATGGCAGTTGGCAAAAACGTTAGGTGAGCATTACCGCCACCAACTGGTAAGGAGTGTCAACAACCATTCTTACTCTTCTTCTTTTCTATTATGGCGAATCGCAAGCAACTTTAAGGTGTATACCGCCACCTACCGACATGAGCGTGTAGCAACATTACTTTACATCAATTTCTATTTTTTTAATTTTGTGTTCTGTATATAAATAAATAATGCTTTCCTTAATCTGTGAATATCCTTTATATTTCCATTATTGCCCAATATTCCTTTAAGGCTCCATTCCTGGCCTGTCTTTCCAACCATACGTCTTAATTACTCCCTTTCATGTTCATTAGTTGTACAGTTCATCAGTGCGTGTTCTACATTTTCTTTTCTCCACATCCTTCATATTTGTCATTATTTTTCCTCCCTATTAAATATAAATTGTCATTTAAACAGGTAGACCCACTCTGATGATTATTACTTCTTCCCCCTCTGTTTCTCTCATTAATGATTCTATTTAATATAAATTGTTGTACCTTATATAATCCTCTCCCTTTCTTATCTTCGTTCCACCTCTTTTGCCGTTTCTCCTTTTTTTTTAAACTCTTAATAAGTGAACTACCTTCCCCTTTCCCAAAAGGAACCACCATTGCAACGGCAGAGTAAGAATAGAGCTGGGAGTTGTAGTTCTTAGAGTGGAAACGACCCAAAAGACTACAAATCAGCTGCGATGACTAACGGAAGCGAAGGTCATTTTTCACGCGCATGCGTAGAAGTTGAAAGACGGGCTAGCTTTATCAGTTAGCTGGGTTGGATCATTTAACTTTGACATAACCTCCTCTTTTAAAGCTATCAAGTTTATATAATCGGTGTGTTACTTAATAACTTAAGCAACTTCGTCATGTTACAGTTTTTGGTGAGTTTTGTTTTCTTTTTATGCCAGACATCCTCCGTTTTCCAAGATGCTATCCGTAGCTACCATAGAGTAAATGTTAGCTGTTAGCGCTTCATGCTAATAGATCTGTTAAAGTTACAAAAAACAAGGAGAAAATATCAAGTATATATCAAATATTAAGATGTCAGAAAAGCTCAATAAGATTCAACCAAGTTTGGTTGATTGTGCCTTTCTTATTAACTGTAATAAAACTTATTTTGCGACAACTACCCAAAATAGAGCTGAACAACATCTGCATCTAAATGTATTATTTTTTTCCTTACAGGCTGGTTTCACGTTGGGGAATGTTGTGGGGATGTACCTTGCTCAAAATTATGAAGTAAGCTGTTTCTTAATTTTTATGAATATATTGTTTCTAGATCTTATCACCAACTCCATTGTTTACTTCTTTTTTTTTTTTTTTTTTTTTTACATTTTTTGTGCTTACCTTAAATTCTCTTTTCCTTATTGCCTTTTTAAATCTTCTCTCTTCCTAGTTTATTTCCTTCCTTTCTTACTTACATCCTTCATTCTATACTTCTTATTTCTTCTTTTATATCCTTCCACATTACTCCTTTATTTCTTTTTTGTAGGTTTCCCACCTTTTATTAAATTATCTACCCTTAATGAAACTTTTGATATATTAGACTTAAAATTTTTGTTTGATCAGTATGTATAAAGCCGCTCATCCAGATGAAACCAAGTATTCTTTATCTTATTTGATAATTATGGTGATTTTTACTTAAATAACCAGATTCTAAGTGTGAATTTTGACCTCTGCTTAGGTTCCCAATATAGCCAAGAAAATTGAAGCTTTTAAGAAGGACGTGGAGGCCAAGAAGAAGCCACCAGAGTAACCAAAACAGGATTGTGCAACAAACAAGAGGAGACATCTTCCACTGAGATTATTTATTCCACTGGGTTTCATCGACTCTGTGGGGTTTGCGTTTGCAAATGTCCATTTGTAAATGTGTATAAAAATATAAGTAATTCCAGGACAAGCGTTTCCCACCTCAGTTATAAATCCTTGTTCCCAATGTAGCCTTCCTCATTGAGTAAACAGTGCGGTAACTGGATTTAAAGAATAATGCAGCTAATTGGTGGGAATCACTTCAAGTCCAAGTTGGCGGCACTGGTTGCCTGATTTTTCTGTAATGCAGTGTGATTATTTTGCTTGAAGTGCATTGCGAAAGCTACGCAAAAGCTGCCAAACATTTTGACAAGTGTTGATGAATGCTGTTCTACATCCTTAAGCCTTTAATAAAGTTATAGAAAATGACTTTACAACTCTGTCTCATTATTTTGAGTTTTCACTAAAATCTGTTCTTTCAATAGATGGCACTATTACCCTTTAGTGGTTAGCAGATCGGATCGTTGTTTTTCTTCTTGTTCTTTTGGAGATTTGGCCACCCAAACCCTCTATACTCCAAGCAGTCTGCTGCATTGTGACAGATGTAGCAGAGACTCTCCATGGCTGCAGGGCTGAAGATGTCCACCTCCATCTTGTTGAATTTGGTAGAGCTCCCAATCTTATTGGCAGACTTTGAGCTGAGGAATCTGGGCTTTATGGGTTTGTCAGGAAAGATAATTCGAGGTTATTTTTCTCTATATACAATAACAGGCTTTATCAAAATAATAGAAAAAAACTTAAAATACTAAGATAATGAGATACTTTTATATATCTGGAAGACGCATGATATACATACCATGAGATACTTTTAATATTAAAAAATATGTGAAGAAAATTATCTCTTACCAGTGGGCTTGGCACATTTTATGGTGGCAACCAAACGGGTCCTGGTGAGAAGCGATAACCCATGTGTTTGCATCCTGTTGGCTTGGAGACCGCAGAGGCGGTGTGGAATCCTTCAACCTCTGCACTGTTTCTGTGGAGACAATTTAATGTGAAATAAATCCACAACTCTCTTAGGAAAACAAACCTGATGAGTTTAATTAGAATTTGGTGAAAAACATTCATTGGTTTTAGGTATGCTGATGTATCCACTCCTAAAACTATAGGCTTTGTTTCATACAAAAGCTATTTTGTTCTCTTTTAATGAGGCAAATGAAGAGAAAATCTGTTCTTTAAACCTTTAGTTTAGCATCAATCTATTTCTATGTAAACATGCACTGTTAATAAAAGCTGAGCAGCACTGATCAAAAAAAAAAAATTATTCCTAGATAAAAAAAGGACTTTTTTTTTAATGGTTTCTCAAATTTATTCATAAAACAGGGTTCACCCTAATAGGCTTTGACAGTCTTTGCTGTGAGGTTTTACTGGTAAGTTGGTTTCCTTTTTTTCAATCTGATGCATATCAGTGAATAAAGGGATAACATGTTTTTATATTATACATTTCAATGTGGAATGCGGAAATTCTCCTAACTAAACTTTGCCACATGAAAAGAATTGTAAAGCCTGAGGAAAAAAAAAAAAAGTGAAAAATATATATTTTTCAGATTAAAATAAAAAATAAACAGACCCGAGTCTGCATATCCATGTTTACATTCCGAAGTTTATTTTGCTGTTATGCACGATATGCAAAATAACTAATTGCTGATTTGTTGCAGCAAAAACTGTTCTATTGGGTTTTAGTTTTGAATTTGATAAATAGATAAAAGAAATGAGTGTGTTTGCAAATACTGAAAAAATAGGCTTCTCACCTGCAGCTTAGACTTTACTGAAATGAATCAGGGTTTGTTTTCCGTTTCATTTGCTGGTATTTAAGCTAACCACAAAAAATAAAAAAATACATTTCTTTAATGTCTTAATTCTGACAGTTTGCTTAGGTGATGCATTCAATTACAGAATGTTTTTTTGAAATTCGTATTTAGCCTTTTTTTTTTGCCGGCTCGATGTATTTGTAAAGCAGATAAACCTCAAAGCTTTATTTGCAAGGAACTGTTGAGTGGATTTTATCGCTTGCAAAAACAACAGTTGTCTTTAGAAACAGACACCGTCTCCCGCCTTCACTCCAAAACCTTTCCATTCACATAATAAAGTGTAATTATGACAGAAAAATACATTCAGCAGATTTAAAAAAACATCTCAACGCCATGCAGCAGCTCTTGGATCACTCAGTCGTGCAGTACAAATACACATTTGCATGCAGTCACATAAAAAAAAAATGAAGAAAATCCAATATGGATCCAAGAAAACAGTGTTGTGTTACACACAACCCAAAATAAAACTGCTGTTTACAAAGTTTACTTGACATCAAGTGCAGGAAAACAGTGCATGGAATCAAAACATGAAAGATAAATAAATAAGACTTCATCATCTGCATAGGTGTTTTTTTTTTTAAAGCATTTTTTCCCCTTTATGCAGTAACATAAATTCATGCATCCAATGTCTTAATTAGTGAAGTAAAATACCAGAGTTTCCCTTTGACAATATATTTATTTATAGTCCATGGCAGAGCTCCACACATTTAAGCCCTTAGGGGGATCGTGAGGCTTCCAGCTGGAGAGTTACTGAGTGGTTATAAGTTGGACGATCATGCGGATGATGCGAGAACCCCGGGGACAGGTGCATAGGTCCATGCTTGGGTTCCTGATTTTATCTTCCAGCAGCTGGTCCAGCTCCCAGCGCAGCTCCTTCACCAGCTCAGCCACCTGGGAAACACAAACGATGGTTGGTTGGTAGAGATCTTAACTTTTTGAGAGGATCTGAACGGGATTCAACACCCAAGTTCTAAGCAGGGGAGAAAAGAAAATGTTTAAGCTGTATGAAGGTGATCTGGGACCTGATGCGAAGCTGCAGCGAATCGGATCCACCCGTCATCCAGGGAGATGACAAACTCTCCTTTGTGCAGCTCCACGTTGACCTGACCCCCTCCGAACAGCACCAGCGGGTAGACGGACACCATGCTGCAGTCCCTGATGAAAATGCGGCTCGTCTTTACCTTCTCGTGGTAAACCAGGTAGGGACTGTCATAGTGGCGGACCTAAGAGAGGAAAGAATATTATTACATTTTCCTGAATGGGAAACAGTCGTTTCGTGAAGCCCCAGCTCACCGTGTAGTTAACAGACGATGGGTGAACGTGGACGCAGCCGTCGTTCTTGGTCACGAAGCGCAGCTCGTTGGCTTTCGGTTGCATCTTCATTGCTCCCTTGCTGGTCATCTTGTAATTCCCCTGAGGTGCCCGTACCTGGATCAAAAGAGGGATCAAGCGTCACTTCATTGTGAAATCGCTGCTATGAGCTGAGATTTGAAAAGGTGATTCACCTGGACGACGTTTGGATAGAGAGCTGCACACAGCATTGCAGACATCAGACGGATGTTATCCGAATTAAGGTTGGCCTAGGAGGGAGAATATGACAAGCCTTAAAGGTGCTGTTCACTTTTTAGACAAAATAATAAATTCAGTGAGTATATATGGTTCACCTCAGGTCCAGTAGCCTCTAAAACACCATCCGTTCCCTTTGAGGAAAGACGTTCAATAACTCTGGCCCTCAATCCCTCCTTAATGAAGCCGATGTCCGACAGCAGCTCTGCAAACTGTCTCTTCAGGCTGGCGATCTCCTGAATGGGGCACGCCGTTGAAGATTTGGAGGTTTACAAAAGGATTTCACATTATGAACAACACATTTATCTGTAAAGATTGCTTTGATCTGAGGCTCTGCTGCTACTTTCCCACCTGTAAACTGCGCCAGGACAGGAAGTTCTCCCTACAGTAGAGGAACCCGGCCTGGTTACCGTTCTTTGCAGCGCAGCACCAACCCTGCCAGGGACAGAGATGATCCGTCACACGGCTTCTAAGTAAAACTTCGCACACTACTACAGACAGCAAGAGAAATCATGGAAAACAGACTAATAATTCTACAGGATAGAAAATGATTGGAGGAGTCACTGAGAGAATTAAAGAACATGGAATTCATCTTTTTAAAGACAATCTGTAAACAGAAATAAAGATAATCAGATTGTGAGCAAAGTCGGTACCTTGTATGCTTGTAACAAAGCCAGATGGTCACTGTTAGCCAATGAGAAGGCAAGCTTCTTCTCGCCAGCTTCCTCTCTCTTATCCCACGGAGACACCTGGAAACATTGCACATGTCCAAACCTCTTATAATGAACTCAAAATGACAGTACTAAATAAAATATAGATCTAGAGTGTCATGTTTGCTTACAAATGGAGATTTAAAGGCCAGACTGGCGGCGATGGTAAGCGCCGGGTCAAGGCAGCGAAAAATGGCGCCAAACAGCATCAGTTTTCCTATGCGCACGTCGACAGGCAGGCAGGCCAGGTGGTAGCCCAGCGGGGTCAGCTTCTCATCTGCGGTCAGAGCACCCAGGTCCTGGAGGCGCTGCCTGGCAGCGTCCAGGCTGCCTTCAGCCGGGGGCTCGATGAGCCGAGAGAAGACCGACTCCAGCGGCTGTTCGGCAAACAAATCCAGGATCTTAATTCTGTCAAAGAAATGAGAAAAAAGTGGTTTCACATCATAAATCCTCTAAGTGAAGGCAAACGGTGTTGGGTGAGGACGCTACCGGAGGCAGAGCTGCTCCAGAGGGACTCTCTGGATCTCAGGCAGCTGCTGTTCAGCCAGCTGGTGGTGGAAGCAGTGGCTTGTGAAGAGATGGAAGCAAACCCCAGATGCCACGCGACCTGCTCGACCTTTCCTCTGCAGCGCGTTGGCTCTGGACACCCACGAGTCCTCCAGGCTCTCCATGCTTTTGGATGCGTCGTACCTGAGAACAAGCAGCACAGCATGGAACCGTCTCAGACCATTTTAGCGAGGATTAAGTGCGATTAATCTAAGGGAAATGCACAGCTGACCTCTTTTCCTTCATCTTGCCAGAGTCAATGACGTAAACCACGTCGTCGATGGTGACGGAGGTCTCAGCGATGTTGGTGGAGATGATGATCTTCGTGACGCCCTCAGGAGGGCGGCTGAAGACGGCCTGCTGCTCCTCGTTGGATAAGGTTGAATGGAGGGGGTACACCACACACCTGACAGGTGGGACAAACGCAGCAGGTGTTGCATCTGCAAACTAATGAGCTTCATTTTCCTTTTTCACGAGTGGACTATCATGTAGTTCTCCAAAGGCCTTAAAATTAATCTTTTTATTGCAGGAGCTATTATCTTAAATACAAAATAAGCACAGGACAGGACAGCTTCTCTTTTCTTTATTTGATTTGATATAAAGATTTTCTAAAAGACTGAGGCTGTATCCTGTTTGTCAACTCATTTAAAATGGCGTGACCACTATATAGTGCCCTATATAGTGGCTACGCTATTTTTAATGAGTGTCTGAACGTCTAGTGGATGAATGAGTAGTGGACTC